TCGGGGATTTTYTCTGTCAGCAGGTCTCCTTTAATAGGAAAATAAGCCCAAGATATTTAACAGAACTCTCTGTATGCCAGGACGAGAGTCTTACATTACTTTTTCTCGTTTGTTCTGGAGGCTCGTGCCTATGGCATCACATCCCTGAGTGCTTGCAGAAGGAAGAGCAGGTTTAGCTGATCACATCCTGTTTCTTCATTTAAAGGTGGTCAAAAAAATTATTATCAGAGCTTCACAGAGGTTTGTGTGAAACAAAACAAATTCYTGCCACGCTTGCCAAGTCTGCAGCTCAAAGAGTGCTGCTGGTATTCCTGCTGTCATTACTGAATCTGGCAAGAGCACCATTTTCCCTGAATAGCTGCAACACCCTTAATTTCCTCTTTACTAGAAATTTCTAACTTTATCAGGTTTGTTCAATGGTGTGCCAAATTAAATAAAAAAAAACCTTTCCAGCAAACTAGAAACTATGTATTCAGCATGATGGACAGATTGCCATGTATGACAGTTCTGTATTTACATAGCAATATATATAAACCTAAAGAAGTTTGTTACATCAGATGCAAACATCTAGCAACAGAAATGTCATCACCATCATGTCATAATGAGATTATAATTTCACACTTCCTTCCAGTATCTTATTTGTGTCAATTCCTTAAATGACCATTTAAGAGATTTTTCATGCAAGTCGTTCTTAATTAGCAAGGAAGTGTTCAGAGCTGTGACTTTCCTGTCTGTACTTACTGTGTTGATTAGATATGGGCACATGCTCATATTTGTGTTCATAGAGTTTTCAAAAACTGAATTGGAAATAATTATTAGAATAAACCAAAAGGTTGATGGCGTGTCTGTTACCACAGCCCTCCTCAGGCTGCAGAGCAGAACCTCGGACACCAGACTTTGAATTTCTCAGCCTGTCTCGGTCACCTACTTAAAATACCAAGGGTCTGCTTTATAATTTTACACATGTTATCATTGTTTTGTTGCCAAGAAAGGTTGTTGGAAAGAAGAACAAAGCCCAATGTTTTAAGGCCATGAGGGAAGGATTGCGGAATATTGTATTGGAGCGTAGCTTGTAAAAGGATGTAAAACTGGCTTTTCCTATAAAAGGGGTCTCCTGTTGCTTCCTTCAATTAAATCTGTCACAAAAAATTGCAGTCCATGGTCTAGTCATATGAACAATAGAGGGATTCAAATAACTGGGGATTCTTGTCTCTCTCCAAATCTGAGATATCTGCATGCACTCTAAATTGGCTGTGTCAGGGCCATGAAAATGCTGTACTGGGACCATGATATCTAATTTGTTCCAATACAGTATTTGAAAATTCAGCTCACAGTCTTGTAATGTGCAAGAGGGTGTAGGCTTGGAGAGTAAACCTAGTCCAGCAAAGAGATACAGCAGTGAATTTGAATCCAAACTTGGCTTTGGTTGCRGGCATCTGGTTCGTGTCCATAACTGCTAGCAGTAGGACGCTGGATCATAAAGCCCCTTTTGAATAATTCTGTGGAGTTGATAGTTCCCTTTATAAAAAATTGTGGTCATTTCAGGACAACTGGAGTGCTTCAGTTTCAGTAATAAAAAACACTGCTTTCCATGGATGCATTGAGGCACATTCACAGAATATGAATTGGTTTTCATATTATGAAAATTACAGGAGAGAATTCTGGGATAAACAAAATGAAAAGTTTTTTTCATTTTTGTTTGGAGCCACATGGAAGAAAAGACAGTGGAAGCTTTTTATTCATAGGCACAGAAATAAAGAAGTGTCACAGCATTGATGCAAATACAGTGCTGTGGTATATCTATTGTCTTTTCCAAACACATTTTACAAACAGAGCAAGTGTCAATTTTTAAACCTCCTTTTTAAATCTAAAACATTCATATCCGCAGTGACTTTCACAGATATTCCAATAATTCCAATAATGCTACAGTCCATCCAAAGATGCATTTCCTGCTGCAAAGCAATTGTATTCATTGAAGAAGCAGGCAGGCAGCAGATGCAGTGTGGAAGGAGAGATGTAAACAGGACAGATGAGTGTTAAATTGTCGAGTAGATATAGAAGATCAATACTCGCTTCTATTACATGACCTGTTTCTTTTTATCAACAGTCATGAATAGAAATGAGACAACAGTATCACCACAGCATTGCAGACACTCCCACAACTGCTATTTTGGGAGTATGAGAATAGAAACAGAGCATCAGGGAATCATCCAGCCCCGTGTGCCAGTCCAGCAAAGTGGCTGGATGGATAAATCCAAGCATGATCTTTATGCAAGGATGTGAATGCATTTGCATTCACATGTCAGTCAGATGCCCTGTGTGTCTCTCCAGTGGGAGTGCAGAGCTCTCTTAGGAGGTGCTACAGACTTGATCCCTGACTTTTGATGAGCCATGAATACCTCCAAATACTAAAAACAAACAAACAACCACGAACCCATTCTGCTGTAGCTCTATAAAATGTACTTTTAAAAGGCTCATTTTAGGTAATCTGACATTTTTTCATGCTTGAGAAAGTACTTATAAGGGAGCTACCTACTTCTTTTGAAATCATAAACACAATAGTAGATATATGGTTTTGTACATGTATCTGTAAATGAGAACTGTTCTGCAGAAAGTATTCATGGGAGAAGAGCTCTGGCCTTTTTTTAGACCATAATACATGATGTGCTACAACTAAAATTACATTATGAGTAAATATAATCATAACTGTTTTGTGGTATCTGGAGGTCTCTGTGACTGATTAGTCATATTCTGCTTATTAAGCTCTACAGGGTCAAGTGTGAGAGTGGCTGAGCACCACATTTCCCATTGATTTTGTTCTGAGATGCATGGACAGATCATCAGCACTGTGCGAGTAACAATTTCCATGACCCATGAGCAATTCTGAAAAACGAGAAACACTGCAACTGGAAACCAGTTTTATTTTAAATAATAATTACATCTTCTTTTTTTTTTGTTTTTTTTTGTTTTTTTCCTAATGAATAAACAGACTAGGGCAACTAACACATTTTTGGGCATTTTTACTAAAAGCAAAGGAAATTAAGAATCAAAGGGCTTCATTCAAAGGAGTGTGTGGGATAATTCAGAAAAACTGTGAGGAGATGCTGCTCATAAATACCTTAGGTGCCCTGAGAGAGAAAAGGCTGAATTAAGTCCCTCCTTCATGTGAGTTAAAGAATAGACCTAGACCCAGGATATAGAGATAGCAAAGGGATATGGTAAGCAGTGAGTCAGAGAACRTGGAGTATGTAGCTGTTTGGTTTTGAGAATAGTGCCTCTGCCTCTGTTGGGCTTGCGTGGTAGCCTAAAGTATTTCTCCTTGGAAATGCTAAATTTGTTTTTAATGTATTATCATATTGTTTTAATTTTATTTTAACCAAAACTATCTCCATAGATACTCTTTTTTAATATCTTTAGAGTATTTATCTACACTTTTTTCCAAATGTGAAGAAATGCTTTACCAAGGTCTGGTCTGATGATTCTTCAGCAGGAGAGCACAATTCTTCTTCCCCACAGGAACAGTGCTGTGGAGGCCCAGAGCTGGAATAGTTGCTATTCCAGAGCACAATGATCAGATTAGCAGCTAATACAGGCATTACCTCTGAATATGAAGAGTTTTGTTTGCTTCTCTCTCTCCTCCTTGAATCCCCATATGAATTATGTTTTATCAGTGAAATCACTCCAGGTTGTTCAGTCCTGTAGGAAGACTAATAAAARTCTTTTATAACTATTATCTATATGTGCTGGCAAACTTTAATAAATTTATGTATATGAAAAATGACGAATTTAGATAATTGAACAGTACAAAGCTTGGTTCTGAGAGCATACAATAATATCTCTTTCACCAGATGAGTGTGACTAAGCAGCTCTTATTACTGGTTGCAGAATGAAAATGCTGGAAGAGTACATGAAGTGTATGACCTTTAGATATAGATGGAGAGAAACAGTTATTTGCCTACTGCAGGGGACTGTGAAATGGCAAATGACATGACCAATGAAAATTGGACAATAAAATTTGTTTTTCCTGGAACAAATTCTTCATAAAAGGAGGATTCTGCAGTAGGGTTTATAGTTTATTAGGAAAATGTTTCATGGAAAAGTACCGTTTCAAATTGCATGAAATGATATATAAGAGTCCTCACTATGTATACATTTGTTGTATATGCTATTCATATGAAGTTTTAGTGAAATGGGAAAATGTCAGCTTCTTGTTTTCATCAGCAGATATTTAAGAATGGACTGCTGGAACTTGCAATCCTTTGATGTTAGAGCTTTAAGACACAAGACAGAAGAGAGGCAGGGAGGAACTCTTATGGTTTYTCTAAGTTGTGTGTTTTGTTTAGAAATATATTTGTAACTTGTGTTTTGAGTGTTTTAGTAATTCTTCTCATGAGAAACTTCTAAATTACAAGCAATTAATAAATARATAGGTTTTAGAATTATTAAGCAAAATCACAAAATGGTGGCACCTAAATTTAGGAGTGCTGCTAAAATGTAAATTTGCCTTATGCCATGTTTGACCCAAGAGATTGTCTCAGTTGGTCAGAGCATGGAGTTAATAAAGCCAAAGCTGCAAGTTTTATTCTCTTAAGAGCCATTCACCTAAGAGTTGGACTTGATGATCCTTGTGGGCCCCTTCYGACTCAGAATATTCTGTAATTGAGTGATCTTTTCCCAGATGTYACAGGTGCTTGTTGGCCAGAAAAAATTAAATTTGCGCCCTTACTTCTCTAAGCTAAGGAGTGCCCATAGCACTAGCCAGTGACTTTTGCTGGAGTGTTAAAAGAAACATGAGCAGTGTAATGTCTTTGATCTGATACACTGTGCAAATCTTTATGGAACACTTTTGTTTCGGAGCTTGAGGGGGGAAAACTTACCTTTTACAATCAAGAGGCAGCTAATAACTTAAAATYTAGCTCAACTCAGAGGCTTCTGATACAATCACAGCTACTGTCTTTGCATGGCAATGAATTCCTTCTCTTGTCTGTTGTGACGCATAGGTGAAAAGCAAGCAGCAGAACCAGACGATGCAGAGCTGGTGAGCCTCAGCAAAAGGCTGGTGGAGAACGCAGTGCTGAAGGCTGTGCAGCAATATTTAGAAGAAACACAAAACAAAAGCAGACAGACTGATGGAAGCCCTGCAAAAACTGAGGAAGCAGAAAGTGGCAGTAAGAATGAGGGCGACAATGATAACAGCAAGTGAGCGCTGTGCAAAAAGCCTGGGAGCAAATATCCCACCAAGAATAACTACAAAACCACGTCCCAGCTCCCTGCTGAAATTTGCTAAGTGGTGCTGGATGTCAGGCACTCTGCTTTGTGAGTCTCTTATCAAAAGTTTGTTCTGCATTGAAGGACATTGTCTACTGGTTTAACAAGTGCTTGCACTGCTGAAAATCTATCGAATGCTGGGAGGGATGGACAGTGGAAAAAGACAARAGTGGTGAAGCACGCAGCTCCAATCTTCACTTCTTTTGATACCAAGAGTTCCTTCCTTGCTTTTGAAGAGAAACTGAACATTTTGCCTTTGTCTTTTGGATTGCTGGATGGCTGTGAAGAGGCCTTGCCATAAGTGGAAGCGATGCCCTGCGCCCAAGGGTTTGGCACCGCCGCAGGGCTGCTTGCTCCATGTGAGAGCACATGCTGTTTCCTAGTCAACAGCAGTCAATCCCAAGCTAAAAATTACCACTACAGATGCTCATCACAGATACTATTACACAGTATGTRATAAGGCAGGAGTTTCCCTTAAATGTGACACTGTACTGTTCTTTACATTTTGGTAGCATTTGTTGATGTAAATTATATTTTTTTKATGAAATACCTTTTTATAAAAGATCAATATGGGCAAAAGACTGAGCACTTACTATTGTCCAAACTAGATATGATCTCTGTATCTCTGTACATTAATGATTCTAAATCACATGAGTTATTATAAAATGTATTATATTGTTCTTCTCCTCTAGGAAAGAGCCATGAAGCAGTAGTAAAGGAAGCTTTACACAGAGAAACGCAGGCCCTGTTATCCAGACTGAATCAGATAAAGGAGCTGTTAACGAGTCCTGAGATCCGCACAAAAATTAGCAGAGAACTGTTTGAAGACAGGCACAACTCTAGCAGTAAATGGAAAAGTTGTATTGACTCTGAATCTCCAAATGCATGACTGTAAATTGCTGTGATGTGAAATCTCATCAGGTTGTTTCAAGACAAAATATTTCTGCAAGAAATTTTTCGGATTGGTTTGTTTGGGWTTTTTTAACTGAAAATGTGAATGGGTATAAAATGGCTTATGAGGAATCATGCTGAAATACCTGCACAGAAGGATTATATTTCATAATAATGAAGGATGGGCACTTCTTAGCACTGCTTTGAACATGTTTAAATGTGCAGGTATATGTCATGACTCCAAAGTGGARAAATACTGGTTTCAAATAGATCTGAGCAAACACTGTGCCCTTCCTTTATCATTGTAAATAACTCAGTTTTTTTCTCATCTATTCCTTCCCTAACAATGATGTACAAGTACTAAAAAAYTGATGGTTTTAAATACTTCAAAATGTATATTTGGAAAAAAAGCCTCTTTTAATTATCTGCCTTTTGTATATGTACTGGCCATTTGGGTTACTGTTGTCTGTTTTTTTATTGTTTTTTAAACAGCACTTGAATACTTGTATAGATGCTGACATTTYGTTTCTGCTGATGTTTACACTAATGCAAGAATGTTTTAAATTTCAGTATGAAATTCAGGCTCCAGTGATCTCAATGGYATAATCCTGTTGGCTTTAATGGAGTCAGGATGCTGCAATTAAGATTTCTTGTGCAAATAATAATATTCCTTGGGATAATATTTGCCTTTTTACTTTTGTAGAACAGTGTTTTTGTCCTTTGTTTTTAATGTTTCCTCCATCTGTACCTACTGCTGCCTAAGGTGGGTGTCAGTTTGCTCTCATTGCTCCCTCCACACACCTGCAAGATTCACTGAAGATTTGTATGATGGACAACACTGCAGGAGTAGATCCAATATTTGCAGTTTTTATAAACATTGTCATAAAAGCTATACAGTGTGTTGTGATTGGTATCAGAATTGTGCTGTTAGAACAGCTGTGTGCATGTTCTTCATTTGTCTCAAGCACTGTTCATTTATCTCATGTCAAAGCAGTTTTTTTCTCATTTGATATATAACAGTATATTCTGAAACGCATCTTATACGTGCCATGTTCACAATAAAATATTTTTCCTTTGCATTCTGTGTATGTTTTCACCTGTTTCCAAATGGACTTGAATAAAATTAAGTATTTGCAAGTAACAGGGTTACAGCACAGAAATAGTGCTCCAGTGAATCACACCCTTAAGTTGACTATGGGATATTGTGCCACCATACTGACCTGGAGCTTGGGTGMTGAACTCATGCAGGTAAGGGTACAGCTTCCTAGAGGTCCATTCTTGAAGGGTGAGTTTAGGGAGTAGTCTCAAAATACTCTAGAATGACAAATAGAAAATTAAATCTGAATCTGAAATCATCCCTGGAGATCATTGAGAGGCAGCTTTTCATAGGCTGTCAAGCAATTTAAATCCAGCTTGCACATAAGAACGCAAAACCAGACACACAGCTGTGAAAACAGGAAAACAATTTATTGTATTTTATCTGAATCATAGATTGTCATCTCCCATTCCTCTRTGCAAGTAATTTCCATGATTAAGGACCTTTTTATATAATTTAGCTTCTAAGAGTCATTGTTCTCATGTTTCAAGTAAAACTGTGGAAATTAATCACTGAATTTATGTCCTGGCACTTTGATAGGTGACCTCATTATTAGAGAGCYTGCTCATTCAGTTCTTATGGATGGCATCAAGAATAGCAGCCTGAAGAGCATTTAGGAGAGTTAAGGRCCTGAGTGTGGGCATCATTTGAAATGTACTGGAGTGGGGCTGGCAAATATAACATAAACTGTAAAGGAGATGTGTTCTACTGGATCAGGGACTGTGGGATAGAGGATATCCCAGAGCCTCTGAAAAGACACTGGATACCTATGTTTAAGTACCCAAACCCATCTTTAATTTTCAGATGTTTTAAGACAGGAAAATCAACAGGGCTTTTGTTTCTGAATCATTCACATTCTCTTAAAAATAGCCTTTACTTCTGGTTTTGACAAGACACAGCTATTAATTTATTCCAAATTCAAAACAATAGGGTAAAAAAAAACTGTATCTGGATTCATTCTCTTATGACAAACCTTCTTGCTTTCTCAATTTTTTTTCCTCTGGCAGTGAAGCCTGGCTGCCAAATTGAAGGATAAATCTCTTATATAGAGCTGTGAGATGAGCACTGAAGAATGCAGATACATTGAGACTGAACCTAATATAGGCAGGTGTGAAGCTCAGAGCTGCACCCACCTGAACAAATATGTTGCCTTCCTCACACTTCCAAATCATTTTCAGACAACAATTCTTTTTTTTAAATAAGAACTTCTTCTGGGGAATGTCTTAAGGTAGTGATGCACAGGTTATTCTAGGAAAGTGTTGGCATTTCAAACYAGATGGTGCAAGTTTGCCCATGCTTTGTTTTCGGTTCTACCTTCCAGTTTGCTCATACTCAAAGAGTATTTCTACACTGCTGATTGTAGAGCTGTCTGCGGCAGATGTAAATAGCTTCCAGGACTATTCTAGCTGGACTGCCCATGACCTATGGAGAAACTTCCTGACATCCAGGCTTGGTCCAGGCGTAGACCGAAAAAGATATGCTTTGGATATCTGAGCAGCCCATGCCATAAATTCCCTACCCTGCTGGGCAGTGCATCAGAGCTGTTTGAGAGTTGACAGGGAGAGCAGAGAGAGAGCAAATCCAAGCAAGTCCTGACTAGCAGACACCAATTCTCTGGTGAAAGAATGGAGGCTGTTGTGGAAAACCCGTGTCTCCAAGYGCAGGTGCTCGTGGCAGAAGGATGCTCAGTCTGGTCACTAAGGGGTAATGCACCAGCTCAATGTGCATCGAGGTCTTTGTGAAAAGGAAACTAAAYGATGTTTCTGTGTTGACCCGAAGATAAAACAGTTTGGAGCTGGAGGTCAGCTTGAAYGCCATATCCAGATATACAGATGATATCCCACGCTGGATAACACCCTGCATCTATTGATGGTCCTACTGAATTACTTGGTAAAATACTACTTCTTGGCAAGGTTATACAGTTTGTAAGTTAGGATTCAAGAGGCTTCATGTTACATATTTATAGAAGTTTCTGATTATAACTGTGCTCACTTCTGGGTGTGCTATTTTAGCCTAAAGACCATGTGAGTGTGTCATAGATCAGAGTGTGAGCCATCCTTCATTCTGGTGACAAGAATGATACTGTWTCATTTTTATGTCAGTCTAGACATGAATCACATATTCTTGTTAGAATTCTGACTTTTTAAAAAGTCCTGGGAGATATCCTACACATTTATGTAGTCAGCAAGCAGAAAAAATAGAAAAGCAGAGCTGCTGCCCTCAGTAGAACTTACAAATTGAAATTTAGTAGAAACACACATTTAATTTTAAAATTCAGTTATGTCCAACAATATGCTTGTGAAATAAAGTGTAAACTGGAACTTTTTCACTGCAGATGAAATACTACCCGCAGAGTTGGCTGCAGGCAAATGGAAGCCAGGAAGAAATCTAGTTGCYTCGAGTGGAGCCTGGTAGCCTGACACCTGAGGGTTGCTTCACTCTGCTTTTAGCCTCAGACTTGGTTTTGCACAATCTTTTTCAAAGCAGTGTTTTATCTGTGAATGGCCTCTGTCTCTGTTCAGCTRTCAGTGGTATATTGTCTTGGCCTGCAGAAATGAGGGCCTGAACTGGTACTGTGGCTTTCGGTCATTTACATCCCTTTAGAGAAGGGGAGAASTTGTTGCTGAAATCCCAAAGAGATTGATGTCTTCACTGAAGTCTTCATCTGGGAATGCCTGGCTGATCCTTAGGCAGCATGAAAAACCCAAAACCACCAGCCAAAAGCAGTTCCGAAGGGATGCACCCTCCCAGAACAAACACAGTGAGTCCATCAGGTGTGTGATTAGTGAGCAGCTGGATAAAGTAAGTGGTGTTTTAGCTTTATGAAAATTGTTCCAAGTCATGGGCGTGTAATCATTTAATTTGTAAAAACCTTTGGAATTTCCTTTCCTCTGCAAGTTTTCACATAGTGACAATGGGTACTCTCTGAAAATGATGAAGGTGCATTTGCTTTCAAAGAGCTTAAAGTGCCGTAGCATAATCTTCTATAGAAATGCTTTGCACTTTTGATTTCAGTTAAACAAAGTCTCTCCTGGCCTGGTTTCAGAGGCAAGGAGTCACACTATTCTTATGGGAAAGGAAACTGTTTGAACCCTGGAAGTAGGAGCACGTTAATGCTGACATGTGTTTTACTCTGCTGCTCCTTTGATCAATACAGTTTCTGTATAAGCAACTTCTTAGCATGCACTCATCTTCTCATTTGTATTCTCCTCATGTCAAGCCTTTATAATGAGAACATTTGTACTGAATGAAAATCAGTCCCAAGAGACGGCTGGGCTGAGAAATAAAACACACTCATAGTGGAGTAATAATTAGAACAGTACACGGGAAAACAAAAAGTGATACGCCTGCCATTCCTGGCATAGCAAAAAGGGCACTCTGGCTCTGATAAGAAAATAATTCTGCAGCAAGAGGCTGGAGTCTGGCTGCTGGTTTGTGGTCTCTGCTCCCACTGCTGTTTATGTGCTTTKTTTAGTGACTCTTGGATGAAAAACGCATTAGCAGAGACTGGGACGTGGARCTGCTTCTTGGAGGAACTCTCCTCATTGCTGGAAAATAAAGCCCCTTTTTGCTCTTGGTGATTAAGGATTAAACCAATCCAAAATGCAGAATTAGGGTAGTTAAGAGGAGATGATTAAKAAATTACACATGAGGATTTCAGTAGAAACTTATTTGAAATAAAAATTGGATTTCTTTCAGATAAGAAAGGCAGAGATGATTTGAGGTCAAGATTAACTCCAGAGATTCTGCTGGTATTTTTTTAGCAAAATTAC